TATTTGCTTTTAAATTAAGAAATTGAGTAATATAGAGTACTAAAATTTGAATTATGATCTATAGTTTGATACCAGTTATTGACAAATTCATGAAATAGTAGTTCAATAAAATTTTGAATGCGAGTCAAAAAACAAGATGACATGGCCTTTCACCCTTGACTTGTCTCGCAAGGGTTAAAAGTAATTATAATGTAAATTATTTGTTTCAATCTCGATAATTCAATCATTTTTCAATTCATTTAACTAGAATAAGATTTTAAGATGCTTTTCTATTTTGTTTTTTCCTATCAAATTTCCTATTACTGTTGCTCTTTGTTCTTACGGTTTTAAGATTTAAGTATTTATACTTACCTCATTAGATTTTCAATGGACTGTTCTTTAACTTTGATATCTGAAATTTAAAATAATGATCAGGTTTAAATACAGTTCATAGCTCACACTACGTAATTATAATATGCAAACAAGCTTTACATGGCCATATTTATCTAGGAGAAAAAGGTTTAAAAACATTCATAATAATTGTTTGTTTCTGTATAAAACATATTCTGTGCACTTTTAATGATAATCTAGTTTTAAGTATTTCTGTTTGCTGTGTTTAAAAATATAGATGGATAAATAATATACCACAGCTATAAAGGACCTAGTTAACTGTCAAAAATATTCTAACAACAAAATAAAACTTAGATAATTGAACAGCAATGTTATTAATAAATAAACTGAGTATTCCAATAATTATTTAATCTGAAGTCTAGTTCAAGGGAAGTGTAGTTCAATCTACACTCTGATCAGTGTGGGTTATACTAATTTTGGAGAATTTCACTTCTCATTAGTAACCCTGAACACAATGTTGTTATATGTTTAATGAATATAAATTAAGTAAAGAATGTGCATAGTCGAAATGTTTTGATTTATGCTTTGTAAGAAAAATAAAAGGAGCGTTTGGAATTAATAAAATACGAATATGACAAACCAGAATGTCATATCCGGGCATTAGTTAAAATATTAGAAATGTATACAGACTCACCTAAAAGACAATGTGTGTGTAAGCCTCTTGTTGTGTTAGCAAGAATCTTATCATAAAAGCTGTCAGGTTTCCAATCATCAGTCCAGAACACAATAGAAACTGTTTCTCCAAAACTGTACAACTATTAACATGCAGAAAAAAAAAAACAGTGCTGAGAAAGTTGTGTTTGTATTCAACTAATCATAAATTTCAAAAAATAAGAAAAAGGAAACGAAATTACCTGTAAGCCACAACAACCTACTGCATTCATTATAGAGGCATTATGGATAACGTTGTAAGGAATTTCTGCTTGACGGGCTCGTAACAATAGGTCTGTGTGTGTTGTAGCTCTAAATAAAATACAAAATATTCATGTGTCAAAAAACTTGATTTGTATTTATATGCATGTAAGAATAATTTTAAAGTCCTGTCATATTCACGATCTATGGAACATACATAACTACAAACCTTATATACAAATATTACCCAGTAACTTAAAACGTACTTTTAGTCATATGTGCTACACACACATGCTTATGTTTTACTCCAAAGTATTTGAACTAAATATGCATATATTACCTTAAAAGTCCAGCAACAGTGATACAGCTTACCCAAATGGATCTCCAACAACTAGGAATGACACATCACAATTTTTAGCATTATCCAAAATCACATCTGAAAAATAAAATGTGTGTATGTACTACTATAATAAATTAGAGCTTACATTCTTTTAAATTTGGATGTACTTACTAACATAAGATACTGAAACAAGCTGAAATCTACTACCATAAAATGTGATTTCAAATCAATAATGTACTGCAGTATGGTTAATAAAATATACATACACTTTTTATCATCATGACAACAGAAAACAAACAAACGGAATTTGAGATTTTTTTTCTTGTAAATTATTCAAATTTTGAGCTCAAACAAACTAACAGTCTTACCAGCATGCTGTTCTACCATGTCTCGGTCAGCAAGAATAAGCTGTTTTCCATAGAATTCTTCCTTAAAATAAAAATGTTGATGCATTAATTTAGACCAGTAATAATATTTTGAAAGAAGACTTACTTACAGTACAGGAATTTAATATATCAAACAAAAAAATACAAAAGATAGTTGCAGTTAGAGAGAAAAACATGTAATGAAAAAAAAAATAAAAATTTGACCTTTTTGTTTCATGCTTCAGAGTGATGTTCTTTCTATTTTTATTTTCTTTAGTTCATTTGTTTTGTTAAATTTTTCTTTTATTATCTCATGACAATTCAATGTTTTTAAAACATATTTTGGTTAGATGCCAGTCCATTGCAGGTTAACCTCCAACTAAAGGATAGCTCCCATCAGCCAACTGAGTGGATTGGAACAATTGGGATAAAGCATCTTGCTCAAGGACACAACAGCATGACACAGGCCAGCCTCAAACACACACCCAACCACCCGACTTGCGTCATGCTGTTGTGTCCTTTAGCAAGATGCTTTATCCCAATCCACTCAGTTGTATGATGTGAACTATTAATTAGTTACAGGTTAACCTGCAATGGACTGGCATCTAACCAAAATATCTTTTGTATGTTGTAATAGAGGAAATGACTTATAAATAAGCACAGTACCTCTGTACCACTATAATTATCAATGCATATGAAAAGAATCATTTTTAAATAAAGGTGTACTAAAAATATTTACTGTTTATATCATCCAATTTATTTAATGACAACGTGTGATGGTGTGCCACGAATTATCGCAACAGTCTATAAATTGGGAAATTTCGAATTAAGTCTTGCTTCTATTCTATTTCTAAATCATTAGGTCACTAAATTAACAATAACAGAAGTGTTTGAGTAGTAGTAGAACTACTACAGTCATAGAATGAGTACCGTATTTCCCAATCAATATGAACAGTAAACAACAAGCTTAATTGAAATACTTTAAGTTTAAAACAGCGATAACGTGACGCATAAAAATTAAAATGAACCAATATTGCAATAGTCTGTATTTTATTTTAATGATATTATGTTTAACTATTACACGGCATTAGGCTTAAAAGTAAAAGCGTACCAACGCCTCCTTTCCAACTGTCAAAATAGATGTATAAGCCTCCAAGTACACTTTTTCAGATTTACGAATAACCTCTAAACCTTTAACCGTTATGTCTTTTGCATCTCCTAAGCCAAGGCCTACAATATAAAGCATTTTTTTCTCTATGAAATTACGCTTCCGAAAAGTGTAGATTCCTAACCTTTTACCCCAACACGTTAAATTTATAGAACACTAGCGCCGTCAAGCAGCTACACGGCATATTCTCCTTTTTTAAAAATTACTAATATCAAGCTATGTGAACATTTTGTTCGTACTTACGATAGTTTATTTTAAAAAATATTTTGTACTGTTTCCTGATTTGTTAAAAAACTGTACACGTTGTCGAACGGTTATTGAAAGAAAAGTAAACACTGTTTCTATTAAATTTTATCTACATTACAAACCATGCTGATACTGATGTTATCCTTCTTGTGAAAGTTTTTAAACAATAAATTATATGAAACTAGAGACCATATTTAAGAAATCCTTAAATGTATGAAAAATAATTACAGAATAAAAATAGCGAGGCATATCCGGGAGACTAGAGGAGAATATCCTCTACCTCAAGGGGTCTCCACAGAAAAAGTTTAGATCTTTAAATTCCTTAGAAGCGCGTAGTTATTCTAATCATTAGCAACCTGTAAAACTTGCATTCAAGCCCTAATCATATTGTGTTTATTACCAGAATGAATAATAATAATAATAATAAAGTAAAAATGCAGAAATACTTTAATGATCTTAATAACACAAGAAGTAAATACAACAAAGATTGGGAAGTGCAACTAAGAAACCCCCTTGGGTATGTCACTGCTGAAGTGTTCTAAATCTGATAAGCATACTGAATCAACATTATAACAGTTGTTACGACAGCGGAAGTCACGTGACTTTGGTAACACGTCATGAGTTTCTAGAAGGATCATGACTGTTCCTGGCAACTCT